TCACAGGTGGCTTTCCAGCGTGGTGTTAACATCCATGTAAACAAAGCATTAGAATCCAAGAAGGTCAGAACAAGGAGGAACCCTGGAAATACCTAGTCTAGATCTCTCAGTTCAACCACAGCCTTCCTGGGACCTCGGGCCGGCTTTTAGCCTCTTTATTCCTTGGTCCCCTTACCTGTAAAATAGAGGAAATACAGCTACCTCACCGAGCTAGGGATTAAGTTCCTTGAGCAGGAATGTGAGGAATTCAGCGCAGTCTGACACAGGGAGCTCAGGAAGAGGTGGCTCTTCCTTTTTGCATAATTATTGCTAATCGGATCCACTCCCAGCCCCCATCGCCACCCCACCACCACTCCCAGCCCCCCCGCCCCGGACCAGTTACTAGCAGAGCAAACTGAGGTCCACAAGGCCTATTCCAGCAACCTCCCTGCTACACCACGAGAAGGTAGAAACGTCACATTTTTATATGTAAGAAGGATCCAAAAAGTTGATGCATGGGAGATACTTGAAACGGGGGAGTTCTGCCACTCTTGCCTTCCAAACTCCCGAGAAAAACACAAAACACAAGCTGACAGTGTTGTTAGATGGATACAATTGCTGTCTGCCTTGGATTTCTCTTTTAGTCAAGGTGTTTTGGGCACAAGCCTCACGGAAGACGAGCACGTGCACTCGTTGAGCCATTTCACGGCGAAGTAAATACCCTTCCTCACACCTGAGCCGCGTTTCGTTAACGATTCATACAGTGGAGGCTGTGACTCGATGGCGGGGCGCCTGCCCAGCCGCAAAGCGGGCAGAGTCACACGCCTCCCTGATTTTCGAGATTCTTCTTAGCCTGCGTGCCCATTTTATTTAAATGGTAACATGAACACGGTTTTATCATCATTTATTATTGTTGTTGTTATTCTTGTTACAAACACACCAAACACGTGATTCAAAGAATGGCTGGTACAGAATCCAAGTCACTTTGCAAAGAAGACTCAGAAGCAGTGAAGACTGTGTTCCAAAAAAAATGTGAATGTTCTGAAAATGTCTTTAAGCTTTAAAACTGTGAAAAACACTCTGTGCTGCTAATCATTAAAGAATAGTCATATGATAAATATGAAGTAAATCCAACAGGGGCCATTTAAACTTTAATTTATTTTCTATGATTAGTTTTAAAAATCCACCTAAATGTAGCCAGTTCATCCTCTTGCTTTCAGGCGGGACCACACTTAGAAGAACTTCACTGGCTTTCTTTTTCCTTCGTGGATGAAGATCACCAGAGGAGGTCCTGCCATCTCCCTTTCTCTGCCTCACTGGCAAAAATAAAACCGGCCAACAAACGAAACACACTGTCTCTTCGCGCTCTTGATAAAGGTAAAGGACTCATCTTTCCTTTCTTTAGCTTTTACATTTTGCAGAGACGTGCTCCTCACAGAGCGGTCCTGAGGGTAATCCGGGGTTCCTTATGCTGAGCGGGCACATCTGAGGGGCGCTTCTCGGGGGCACTCCTATCCACAGGGTCCTGTGTCCCTTCCCTGCCGTCTGTCACACTGCTGCACCCTCTGAGCAAACCAGCGTTGGCTTAAGCTCTTGAAAGGTGTCACAAATGCTTTAAATGCCCACCTCTACCCAACATCCTTTTTTCTTCTCCTCTTTAACAAAGCCTCCCATTTATATGGGCTGGCAATAGGACCGGCTCAAGGACCGTATTTCCAATGACATTCGGACCAGTGACGTGTAAATGGAAGGGCCTGTGACTTTCAGGAATATTTCTAGACAGAGGACGTGCCTTTCTTCCCCTCCCTCTACCTCCCCTCTCCCCTCTTCCCCACCCCCCACCTCTTCTTCTTGTCTCCTGCCTGTAACATTGACCTGCTGTCCGCTGGGTCACGAGCAACAGTGCTGAACTGTGGGGTGAGCGTAACAATGGACGACATGGGCTTAGGATGACAGATAAGGAAAACAAACGCTTGAATCACTGATGCTATCTTAAAAGGTATCATCTTACAACCCCAGACTGCTTAGAGAGAAAGAAACCATATCGAGTTTAATGCATAGTTATTTTGTCTTGTTTCACGTTGTTGTTTTGTAATGTGGAGCTGAACTTGATCCTGACAGCCACATAGAGACCACACAGACGTTATGGAACACGCAGAGAACAGCAGAGAGGTAGCCCCTAACCACATGCCCTCACCATGACAGCACTTGAATCAGCACACATTCACGGGGAAATGACAGTTCTGAATGAACCTTCAGTGAAGGGTTATAAGATACCATGAATTGGTTTAAGGAATTCCTATCATGGAAAGGTCACTCAGTGTATGGACTATAATGAAATACAGAAAACTACATTATAAATTTTTCTTCTCAACCAAAGGAGCCCCACCTATAATGTAATTTTCTTGGTATGTAATACTCTCTCGATCCACTAATCATGTGTGTGCAGTTTTTTCCCACTAGTCAAAAAGTAAAAAAAGAAGACTGCGATGAAGACCATTGATAATGTGTGTGCTAATATTTTATTGTTATATAAAAGGAAAATGGTAGTGGTAAGGTGTATCTTTTAGTTCCAAGAAAATATTTTGCCATACATTCAGTCTCTTCTAAAATAAAAATAGTTGAATTCTTTTTGTAATAATTTACAGAAGATAAAGATTATTTTTCAAGCACACAAGCAAGTCCATAGCAGCACTGTTTGTAACAGCAAATAATTGAAAGTAACCTAAACAGTCTGACAATAGAACAGAGAATCTGTGGTACATCCATAGGATAAAACACTATGTAGAAATTAAAATGAGTGGCTACACACACAGACCAGACGAACTCACAAACATGGTGCAGTGCAAAAGAAGCCAGATCCAAAAGAGTTCAGACTGTGTGAGTCCATTCATGTAAGTTCAGAAGCAGGCAAAATGAACCCCTGTTTTAGTAGTTAGGACAGTGGTTTCCTTCGTGGGCACCCGTGATTAGGAGCAAGCAGGATGGGGCTTCCAGGAAACCGTTAATGTTCTATTTCCTCATCCTGCACTCATTTTATGCAAGTGATAAGTTCACTTTGTAAAAAGTTTACCTAACTAGAATTTTATGGTTTTGGACTTTCATGTATGTGAGATAAACTTCAATAAGAAGTTTACTTTGATCGAAGTAAATTGAAATAAACAAACAGCCCTTGACTTGATTTTCCCATCCTTGCTTCCCAAATCCAGCTGAGAAGTTAGAACGTTCCTCATCTTAACCTGCAGCCAACACCAGCATTTTGAGAGACACAGTGACCACCCCTTCTCTGTCCTTTGTTTTTCCTGGAGAGTCCCATTTTTGAACAGAAAATACTTGGTCCCTATGAGTTCCTTTTGTATATTCTCTGACTTCTCCAGTATCACATTTGAATGATGATTTGGGGGGCAATGAAATTCTAGGCTTCTCTCCATCCTGTTTCTTCTTTTTCCATTTGCTCCTGTTGGCAGACAGGGTATTTCAACTGTACTTTCATCCCACTCAGCGGCAGCCCTAAACAGAAAGACCCACCCGGTGCCTGGTGGTGGCAGGTGCCGGCTTTAGCAGGACACGTTCTAGATGTGACTGATTGCTGGCTCATACGTTATCCTAGTGGCTCATTGCACTTCGAGCACTCCCTTTAAATTAGCTCATCTAGAGGGGTTAACAAACTAATTGGTCTGTTATAGCCTCGGCTTTTCAAGTTCTTTTTTATTATTATTACAATTGTAAATGTTCTCTGCACTCTTGCTATGCTTTTAATAATTGAGAACAGAGCTCTGAATGCCTCTAAGCCAGGCTGAGAGGACTCTCCAGTCAGGAGGACATAAACTAATCCATGGCAGCATCTCTTGGGAGTCTCAGGAGGCCTGCAGACACTGTCATGGTGCCCGAAAGCACAGAACGACAGTGTCACAGCTACGCTGTCCCATCTTCAGGTAATGAGACAAGGACCTTGGCCTGCAAAGCTCTTCCCAGAGGTACTCTTATCCTCACATAAGTTCCTCTGCTAATGAAATAAATGACAGAGCAAAAGATGTGGTTGATGATGGTTGATACTGTAGAATACAGAGTTGTTTGCAAGCATGTCTTGACCTTGGAATCGTCACTGCAAGTCCATTTCGGTAGAAGGGGCTGATCTACTTGAATGAGGGGCAGAAAAGGAGCCTCACCACTTGAGCTGCTCCCCTGCCAACAATAGCTTCTCAATGGGCTCGTGGACACCCCTGCACTGAATCTTTGTCCTCATGAAGTGGTACTGTTCACAGGCCACTAGAAGAGCACTTCTCAGATCTAACCCTCAAATGGACGCCGGGCTGATTGCACCGTAACCCCAGGGAGAGTTGGTCAATGTCCAGATGGCCGGGCCCGATTAAATTCAGGAGTGGGTGCTGGGAACCTGCATATTTAACAAGGTCCCTAGGTAATTCTGATGCCCAGACAAGTTTGGGAACCATGGTTGTGGCTTGGACAAGAACTTACACACCTGTTTTTGGAAGTGGGGACCAAGGATGATCAGCATCAGAATCACCTCCATGTCCGAGATGTACATGTTAGGACTTAGACATGGAACGTGGGGCTACTTTAGTTGAGTTGAACGAGCACTCAGGCCTTCACTGTGTTGGAAGCAGAATGCTCTTAGATTTGGAAACCTTTCCATGTGGATCCAAGTTCCTGCCCACAGTTTCTCTCAGAGTTTCTGAACTTAGGATGGGACCAAGGCCCCTTCTAGGAGACCCACCAGTATCTTTGCTCAATTTGCTGACTTTCTTCTCTCTTCTTCCCCCATCCAAGAATCCTTTATCTCAGCTTAAGTTTAGAAAAATCAACTCAAATTGATCCATGTTCTTCTAAATCTTCTGTCTTCTTCTTGGATCTGTCAAAAAGTCAACTCCTTTTTCTCTGTGATCTGCTAAGACCTCTTTTTCCCAAGGTATGAAGTTGGAAAACTCTCACTACCTGAGGTAGAGAAAAGACCTCAAGGTACAGGTAAATGCAGAGGAATGAACCTCAGTTCTGGAAACATCTGTTTCTTCAGCTATGTGTTAGGCACCCAGGTGTGTTCAGCTGATGAAAACACATCAACTTGTGAATAAATATGCTTAAGATTTGTGCGTTTTTCTGCCTGTGTATTATACTTCAATAAAACTTACAATAAAAATTAGTTACTATCTCAAAACATTATTGTAGCCATAGATAGACTGGTAGATCAGTAGAGGCAAAGATAGAGATATGGAGATATTCTGGACAAAGGTTGTTAATGGAAGTTCTGGAGGTGACCTTCGAAGGCTGCTCCAATTTTTTGGAATTTTGAGCAGATTGTCTTTTGTATAACTTTATAGTTGTGGAATTCACTTGCACAGAGACAACTTCCATCTCAGGTTATATCTGTACACGCTTGCTCGAGCCACAAGGAAACTTCAAAGAACTTATAAGAAATAGAATGCTTTTCAGAGACCCTTGCAAAGTCAGAACCCTGTAAGTATTTATATAAGAAGCCACTTAATGTCTGCTTGACTGATGGGAACTTAAACTGCAGTAAGGCAGCTGCTGAATAGACGGTAAAGTGTTCTTAAAGATGAAAGAGGCAACACTCCAGTCTGCTCTCTCCCAAGGGTCAGCATGACACAGCGTCCATGCCAAAGAACCCCATGAGGTCTTCCTGAATCGAATTTCAGCCCAGCTTAATAGAAGTTGGAAGCAGGCAGAAGTGTCCCTGGTCCCCAAGCACGTTGCCCCTCAGAGCCTCCCCTCCCACCCCCGTTCCTTCTCCCACCCCCGCCACACACCACTTTGAGTCCTATTCTTTTTCCCTTTTTTGCTCTCAGCTGGAGGACATTGAATTCAATCTTTTCGACAAATATACATAAAGCAGGGACTCCAAGGGATGCACTGATGCGTGTGACCTGAAGACAATTAACATGTTCCCCGGGTCCTTCCCTTTGTAAGCAGGGAATTCTGGAAACAGGGGTTTTCAGACAGGTGGTAGGATGGCTGGGAGCCTCTCCACCTTCCCTCAGTGTTGCACTGAGAGGCAGGTCTCCCCACGAAGCCAGCTCCATCCCCCTCTCTCTTGCTTTTCTCAGGTCACAGGAAGGCCAGGTACCCATCTCCTCTGCTAATCGGCTCAGCAGCAAGTGAGGTAGCCTCCTGTGGCAGTCAGCGTCTGGATGAACAGTAAGGAACATGGCCCGCATGTTCTCTCGGCCACCACCCGCCTTCCCTGGTCTGGGAACAAGTGAGTGAATTTGCAAAAGTTAAGGGTGCCTCCCAACCCCCTGCCCGGCCTCCAGTGTGTGAACGCGGTGGCTGAGTGAGCTCTCCACCCCAAACCACATCCATACGGCCCTTCCAACTGAAGTCCTGCCTACTGCTCTGAGCAATGGGTGTTTTACTTCTCTGTGCCTCTGTTTTCTCATCTGTAAAATGGGAAGAATGACAGTTCCTATTTTATGGCATTATTAGAGGTTAAATAAGGTAAAACAGGTAAAGTGCTTCGCACAGTGTCTTGCAGATAATACCCAATACATGCTGGCTGTTTAAGCACCCCCAAACCGTTCTTTTCAGAGGATTCTCCACATGGCAGGGGTGAGAACTGGTTAACAACTTATAAGCATTTTGTAATGGGATCTACTCCAAGCTGTCCTCCACTCAAATGCTGTTCACTCCGGTATCAGAGCTCCATTCACTCGGGCTCCCTCCATGCCCAGCACGAGTCACCTGCGACGTCTCCTCATGACGGTCCTTTGAGGCCAGTGCTACTGTTGTCCCCATTTTACAGGTGGCAAACTGAGGTGCAGGGAGGTTAACTAAATACCCAAGGTTACACAGCTACTGAGTGCCAGGACTGGGGTTCCAATACAGACACTTTGGCTCCATGGTCCGTGTCCCACCACTGTGCTGTTCCATGCACCGCACTGCCTACTGTGCGCCATGGGCTGGAGGATGCAAACACACACGGTGGTCTGAGAGACTCTCTAGCTGTTGTATGCCTGCCTCCTGCACTAATCAGAGCTCACACTCAAAGGATGGCCCAGAATTGGAATGTTTAATGTTCTGAGTGCTTTGAAAATTTCAAATATGCTTAGCATTCATAGTCTGTAAACACTTCCCTTGGACAGTCAAGAATAAAAATAGCATTGCTTCTAAACAGCCAATACTTTTAGCAGTTAGAGGGGAGGAAAAATAATTTGGCCTCTACCCTCCTATGTTCTTTGGTTGAGACCCCCCTTCCCTCTGGTAAAAGACAGATTAACAGAAAAAAAATTTTAAGTACATATGTACAGGAGCCCCACAAAGATATGAGACATAAAACGTGG